TGAGGACTTCTATTATTTATACTTCTTGATTTGAAGCCAAGGATTCTGTTAGTTTTATTGCGAACACTTATGCACTGTTGTCTTGGTTTCAGATTACTGCTAACCAGAACTCCTAAATCCTAAATAAACATTATTTAGTTTATATGCGGCATGGTTATTTTTCTGTCCAACATTTAGAACTTTGCATTTGCCTATATTAAACTACATCTGCCACTTCTCCGACCATTGCATCAGTCTATTCAAATCATCCTGGAGTGCTCTAGTGCCCTCATTAAAATGAATTGGACGGCCCATTTTGGTGTCATCAGCAAATTTGCTTATGTTACTATTTATTCCCTCATTTATGTCGTTATGTAAATTGTGAACAACAACGGGCCCAACACTGACCTCTGCAAAACACCGCTTGTGACGTGCCCCATCCTGATTTCTCCCCATTTATTCAAAGTCTCTGCTGTCTATTTGTCAGTTTGCGTCTACCCAGGAAAAAAATTCTCCTCCTATTCCATGTGCCTTAAGTTTACTCAATAGCATCTGATGTGGAACTCTATCGAAAGCCTTATTGAAGTCCACATACACAATATCATATTCATTACCATGAGCTACATCCTCAAACACCTTAGTAAAAAACAGTTAGTAAATTTTTAAGACAGGAACGCCCCTTCGTAAAACCGTGTTGAGATTCATTAATCAATTTATGTCTATCAAGATGGCTACGAATTGTTTCGGCAATTATTGATTCCATAAATTCTACCACTATGGAGGTAAGGATTATTGGTCTATAGTTCGAAGCTAAGGACCTGTCACCTACCTTGTAAATAGGTATTGCATTTGCCATTTTCCACTTATCAGGCACTATGCCAGTCTTGTAGTGTTAAGTTGAAAAGATTAGCCTAAGTTATGCTAAATTTCTCTTTACATTCCTTTAACACTCTTGCAAACAGTTCATCAGGGCCTGGGAATTTGTTAGGTTTTAACAACCGTGCATAGTTTATTAACATCCTGTTCTACATAATCTATTATTTCAGGAATTTCGCTAGTATTTTCCTGAATAAAAACTGAGAAGTAGATATTGAAAATTTCACACATAGCCTTATCACTGTCAGTGATCTGACCTGAGTTACTTTTAAGATGGCCTGTCTTGTCCCTAATCTTACTTCTGTATGCCTGAAAGAACCCTTTTGGGTTAGTCTTTGAATCCCTTGCGACCTTAGCCTCATAATCCCTTTTTGCTTTTCTTATTCCTTTCTTTTGATTTCTCTCTTTAATTGAATATATTGATTTCTTAACTGCCCATCCCTCTTTTGATACGCCTATGTATGCCTCTATTTTGACCAATGATACGTTTTAATCTATTGTTCATCCATTTGGGATTATTTTTGTTCGATCTAATTTCCCTACTCAGAACAAAAGTTGTCTGGGCAGCTAGAACTATGCTCTGAAAAACGTCGTATTGGCAACCAAGATCTCCTACCTGACCCATAGTCAGGACAACCCAATTTAGCCCACCCAATTAATTTCCCAGTCCCATGAAATCGGCCAAGTCAAAGTCTGGGACAGCGATTTGATTGCAGTCATCTGGGTAATTCCATGATATATTGAATCTAAGTGATTTGTGATCGCTTTCCCCAAGCTCATCATTAACCTCAAGATTATTTATTAGTGATTCTTTGTTGGCAAGAAACAAGTCAAGTAGATTGTTTCCTCTAGTTGGTTCTCTCACAAACTGTTCTAAAAAGCAATCCTGAGCAGCATCAAGAAAGACACTAGTCTCAAGATTTCCTGTCAAATTGTTCCAATCAATTTATCTAGAGTTAAAATCTCCTATTAACGCATCATTTTCATATCTAGATGCCTTATGAATTTCGTTCCATAACAGCTTACTGCACTCCCTATCAAGTTTGGGGGCCTATTAATCACACCCAAAATTAATTTGTCACGACCCTCGAGAAACTGAAGCCAAAGAGAGTATGTCTTCGATGTTTCTAATCTAAGACAATTTAAATTATCACTGACATACATCGCCACTCCACCACCCTTCCTGTTGACCCTATTAGTGTGGAATAGTTTAAATTCCTGTATGTTGCATTCAGAAGGCATGTCTCTATCTTTCACATTGAACCAGGTCTCTGTTATACCAATAATATTTATATTGCCTGCACTTGCAAGTAATCTTAGCTCATCTTTCTTATTTCTTAGACTCCTACTATTTGTATAGTAAACCTTAAGGGAGCTAGTCACTCGTTGCCCTCTACTATCCCTCTTTGTTGATCAATTGATTTGCCTTTACTAGCAACTTTATTTTGAATATTGTCTTTTAAACATATCCCTGAGGTATCCAAGTAATACCTGCTATATTCAACCCTAATACTGCAGCCTGATTATTTCTCACAAACACCCATACCTCTATAATCTATCAGTATAAAGACCTAGACAAGTCCTCAATTACCCCCTCAATCGAATTGGTTAATGCAACCACTCCATCCGCAGAGAGATGAACCCCATCCCTTGCATTCATATCATGTTTGCCATAGAATTTGTCCCAGTTGTCAATGAATGGGGTTGCAAGTTCCTTGCAGTATCTGTCTAGACATCCATTCATTGCCCACTCCCCTTCTAGGCAAGATGTTACATATGACTGGGATCCCTCCCTTAGACCTGACTACTTCTATGGCTGACCTTTACTTATCCAGCAGCTCCTGTCTCCTGCCCTTCCCAGTGTCATTACCCCCAGCACTTAGATAATGGACTTGTTCCCATTACCCAACATAATATTTTCCAACCTGCTGTTTTGTAAATTCCGTTCTTCTGCCCTAAAAGATATTTGAGCCAATTATTCATCCATTTTGGGTCATTTCTATTCGATCTAATTTCTTTATATGGGATAAACGTTCTTTGGGCAGCATATATAGTGTTTAGAAAACTCTCATATGGATAGCTGCCCCAGTCAACAGATAATAAGTGCTTTTTAAGCCCAGTGTAGTCTGCTAAGCGAAAATCTTTGACTGTTACTGAGTTATCCCTACTATCATACTTCCATTCAATGCTAGAGGTAACTGATTTGTGGTCGCTTGTACCAAGGCCCTCTGAAATTTCTAAATTATTAACAAGGAATTCCTTTTTAGCCAAATCCAAGTCCAGCGGGTTATTTCCTCTTGTACGCTCTGTCAGAAATTGCTTCAAAAAACAATCCTGAACTACTTCTAAAAAGTTGTTAGATTTTAATTCCCAGTCAAAAAAAATTTTAGTTAATCTGACTAAAGTTAAAGTCCCCTAGAATTATAACCTTATTGAACCATGTGGCCCCTAACAATTTCATCCCACAGTAGTCTTCCTTGGTCTCTATCCAAGTATGGGGGACGGTATATCACGCCTAAAATAAATTTTTCGTGCCCCTCTGAAAATTCTACCCAATCAGACTCAGTATGTGTTTCAGACTTTATACCCATATTTATGCAACAATATAAACGATCACAGACATAGTGTGTCAACCCACTCCCCTTCCGATACTTCTGTCTACTTGGAACATTTTAAAACCCTGAATGTGACATTCAGCAGGCATGTCCCTATTTCTCATATTAAACTGCGTCTCAGTTATGCCAAAAACATCAATGTTACCTGCACTTGCAACTAATCTCAATTCATCCATCTTATTTCCCGCACTACGACTATTAGTATATTTTCAGAAACCCTCCCTTCTCTTTTCTTTTCCTGCAGATTTCTGTTCCTCCATTATTCCCGTTATTCTCCTTGTCACTTAATGTCACCTGCTTTCCTATATTCACCAGTTACTCTGCCTCTTTCTGCCTATAACTGGAACCTTAAAATTCACACTATCGCTGCACTCAGAATACACTGTTTTTCCACAAAAACCCATACCACTATGTATTTCTAGTTTGAAAATCTAACAGCTCCTTCCACTGCAGTTGCCAGTGCCCCCACCCCAAACCTAGATAAGTGAACCCCATCTCTGGCATACATGTCATTTCTGCCATAGAAGAGGTCGCAGTCATCTATGAATGCTATTGCATTTTCCATACAGTGTTTGTCCAGCCAGCAATTGATACCAATTGCCCTGGACAGCCATTCATTTCCAATTCCTCTCCTGGGCAAAATGCCACATATCACAGGGTTCCCACCCTTCTTCCTAATTCTCTCTCTTGCTGTTCTATGCCTACTAATCAGGTCTTCACTCCTATGTCTGCCAACATCGTTGCCTCCTGCACTGAGACATTACCATTCACGATATCATCCAGACGGCTAACAATATCTCCAATCCCAGCAGCAGGAAAACATACCCTCTGCCTCCTCTTCCTGTCCCTAAAACAAAAAAAAACCTATTAGTAAATTTCACCTGACTGTCCCTAAATTAAACAATGTTCTTACTTTCACTGGCAGAGCTCGTAGTGACGTTCTCGATGGTCTTCATTGGGGTTTCAAGGGATGTCAACTCACCCTTCTCTTCCTTTGCGTCTTTCGTCGTGACGTTCCCAATAGTCCACTCACATTCATAAGGTAGACAGAGAATGCGTTCAATAATTCCACAACAGTTTCCAAACGAGTCTCTTTCTTCTTCGTCGTTTCTACCTCTCCATTCGCCATCATGATCTTCAACTTCGTTCCAATTAACTTAAAAAATGCACCCTAATGCTACTAATAAATAAAAACAAATTTTTATTCAACATTATGTTATATTGCGTCGAATTATACCAAAGTTCTGCCAGCAGCAACTGACAACACTGTGGATGATTAATGAAGGAGTGTTGCCAAGTATTAAGGTTCCAGTGATGTTACATTTCTTCTTTTTCATCCTTTTAATAAAATATTCCATAAACATATTCATCCATTTATTTAGAAAACATTCCTACTTTTCTAATAATTTCTCTTTCCTTCCCAAACTTACCCCCCACTACTCTTACCCCATCCTTCCCTCCAGTCCCCTCCTAACCATATAAACCCTCCCCCCTCTTCCCTCCACATCTTCCTTGATAAACTTGTTCAGT